TTCTGCCACATGCAAAGCATTTCGGATCACTTGGGTTTTCTGACCTATAAGCAGTGTTGAACTTCTTCATGTAGCTTTTATCATAAGCTCCTTTTTCTTTGTTGTACCCAACACTTTTATGTTCTGGATACTTTCGTTGTTCACCAGTTGTTTTACCACCATAGTGACATCTGTTTCCAGAATTTTGGAATTTCGAGCACGTTTTTCATGAATCATCCGAGACAACTTCTTGGACTGCAAAGACATTTCTTCATCAGATTTGACAAGCTCCAGATCTTCAACAGTAAGAGCAATCCCTTTTGAGCTTTCTTCTTCAATAGGATTCATCTCCCGATTCATGAAAATACCATTTAAGGTTTCAAGATTCATGTTCTTGGTTTTCTTCTTATCCTCAAGAGTAGAGACTTTGATTTTTGAACTTTTTGTTCACACTTTTCAACATCTTTCAAACCAACCTTTATTCATCATATTCCAAGCCAAGAGCATATGTTTGGTTCACCACATCTTTGAATCGAGTGTAGAACTCAGACATTGTTTCATCATCAGTCATTTTCAAGGCTTCGAACATACTTTCTACCCTTTGGATTTTTGTTTCTTTAACTTTAGCAGTCCCTTTGAATGCATTTTCCAAGGCTCTCCATGCATTCTTTGCTTTCTTGTAGTTTAAGATGACCGAAAACTGAACTTCATCGACAGAAGCAAATGTAGCATTTACAGCTTTGGTATTTCCACCAGCAGTAATTTTTTCTTCAGGTATCCACTCATTTTTTCACTTCAGGACAATAGTTGAGGGTTCGTTTTGAGTTTCTCCAGGCATAACTTTGGTTGGAGGAGTCCAACGAAGCTCTACAGGTTCCCAAGTTTCATCACCAAGAGTTAACAGGTAGGCCTCCATCATGTTTTTCCAGTAGGTGTAGTTGTTCTCATCGAACACTGGTGAACGAATTGACGAGATTACTTCACGACTCATCTTGAACCACAGACGGATCTACTTGGGGTATTGAGCATGCTACTCTAATACCAAATGTTGGAAGTCGCGGAGAGGGGCAAGGAAGAGGTTCAACGCCTCCGAGTACCTTGCACAATGGAACTGTGAAACTTTCAACGTAATCACAGCTTTACAACGTATTTGTCTCACGGTTATAACAGATGTGTATGTTCATGCACAAATCGATGGCTGAATAAGTGCAGAAAGAAAAGCAATACACCAAGTTTGTTTACCCAATTCGGTTTTCCAACCTATGTCTGCGGGATTCCAATCCAGGAGTCTTAACTAAACCAAACACTTGGTTTACACCATATAAAACACCAAACCGAACTACCCAACCTATCTTCTACCAAGCTCCATTTAGTTTTACAAACTCTCATGGACTGGTTGTTACTCTACCGCAACAACTCCAATAAGCCAACGACCAAGCTAAGAATAAGGTTGCTTACCGGATGACTATCTTCTTCGGCTTCGACTCCAAGAATCCTTATTCTCGTCTTGAATTCTTCATAGATGAGCTCTCTCAATACTCTAACAGATTGAGAGAAATTCTAATTCGAAATGTAGTGTATCCTCTATGATACAAACACAAAATAACACACTAAATACAAATCCTGCACACTAAAAGACAAAGTTGACTGTGTGTCAACTTTTGGGGCAGTGTATCAGGGCAATAAATGTCACGTAGTAAAAGAGGACAATACATACAGTCTCTCCTGCATTTCCTCTGTCCAATGCATATTCGTTTGTCTTATTCTATTGAGTGTAGGACACGTAAGATACATTCAAACCTAGTACCTCGGTCAACTCTATGCAGTTGGCAGGTTCCTAGAAATGGTGTCAATCAAAAGCTGCAACAGCATCATGCATAATTGCTCATATGCCAAAAGTAGAAATAAAAGGGTTTGACATTTTTAATATGCCAACAATGTATAATTATGAGGCATGTTGCTAGGAATATGCAGTTTAAGATAGAGAGGCTTTGATGTAGTGGTTGAGTTGCAAGCAATGTATAATAATGGCGTTTGGCCATTCTCTCTTGATATTTAGGTGAAAGAGAATAGTTTTGAAAATAAATCTAGTGAATATATAAATAGTACATAAAGTTCTAACAAAGAGGATAAATGTTTTTGTTGGACATGGGTCCAAAAGCACCTGAATGAGAAGGAGACTCAAAGACAAAAGTGATGCCAGAGCTCATTGGCCACGAAGCCGCACAACAACAATGGAGCTTTAAACCTCAGAGCCAAAGACTACTGCTTCCACAGAGCCAAAGACAACAGTTTTCATTGGATTGTGGTGCTTCCACAGGGGCGAAAGCAGCAGCCTCCATGGACCTTAGGGCAGCAACTTCTTGGACTATGGCGACTCCATCCCGAAACAATGTTTCCATAAGGCCAGAAAGTGTTGTCTCCATTGGGTTGAAAACAACTACCTCCATTGGACTGCGGTGCTTCCACAAAGCGGAGAAAGGTTGCCTCCACAAGATAGAAAGCAACAGCTTCCACAAATAATGGGATAACTACCTCCGTTGGCCCTGGGTTAATAATTTCATACTTAACATTAGTGGAGGACCTATGCACTCTCATACTTTATTCAAAAAGCTCCATGGAACAAGCCAATAAGAGGAAAACCGAAGATTCCATTTAACTCAAGGCTGTTGGGGATACATCCCCATGGACCGGCTAGGAGTACGATGGAAACAAGTCGGAGTAAGTAGCAGATATGGTCCAGAGGCAATGGAAGAAATTCAGAGCAAGTAAAACCCGGTCCAGAGGCAATGGAAGTGGTTGGGAGCTGATGGAAGGAGGTTACTAGGTGGTTAGGAGCTTATGGAAGGAAGTTACCAGGAGCTGATGGAAGGAGGTTACTAGGTAATTAGGAGGTAGTGGAAAGAGGTTACAAGGAAGTTGGAGGTAGTAGTGGGAGGTTACCAGGAAGTTGGAGGTAGTAGTGGGAGGTTACCAAGTGGTTGAGAGTGGTGGAGGAATAATTGTAGCCATCCCTTTTAGTGAGAGAGGTGGTTATTCTAGCTTAGGATTAAAACTAGGAAAAAACACAACACACACAGGCACAACAGAACAATTCGTCTATTTTCATATTTTTCTTTCCTATTTTATTTTCGTTTATGCAATTTAATTCCGTTTAGATGCTTTCTGCAATTTATTTACTCGCTTTCCGTAGTTAATCGTAGTTTAGTTTGATCAATCTCGTCAAATCTTCATAACCCAACGACGGATCGGCTCTTTGGAGTACTTTCGGAACCCACACCGACGAAATCGATGAGTTATTTTGGAATTCCGAATCGCAAGATCCAACTGTTTTTTAAAATGAATAACTATATTGAAGCTGATAATGATGATAAGATAAGAAGTAAATGTAGATGACCAAAATAATGAACAATTAGCATAAAGTGTGATGAGTAATGCTAGTATAAACTTAAGGATAGTCATATTATTGATTAATACACCGTTGGTGATATTGGTAAATTATATATATATATGTTACTACAAAAAAAATTAGTATATTTGTAACGGAATTACGTTCCAAAAGTTCATATAGCTAACACAATTTCATCCATAATTTCGTCTATAATATTATTAGTAACAAAAAACCTTCGTTACAAAAATGATTTTTTCTTTGAGGTGTGTCTAATTACAATTAATTGATAATTAACAAATGAGGAAAAAAAAGATTTATATTAAACAAATTGATATACAGTATAGTTAATTACTTCAAAACAATCATATGCTATATTGTAATATTAATTTTTTTAAAAATAAAATAAAATTATACGTTTATATTAATAATGAAGGAATTAATAATATTTACAAGAATAATCAAATCACGTGGTCAATGTAGAGCTGATCAACAATCAGACTAAAACTTAGCTATATAAATAAATTAAAATGCCTAAGCCCTGATGTAATACAAACATAACAATAAAGGCAGCAATAAAACAAAATCACATCAATATTTACAATACTTATGTGTTATTTAATTTGTAGAGGTTCGAAATACCGAACAAAATAAAAATTTGTATATACATTGCCGATTGCTGAAAATTTTATAATAATAATTTTTTGTAAAAAAAAGAAAAGCACTTATTTTGAATATTATATAAATATACGGGTAAACTGTTTTTTAGGTATCGTAACTGGATCTCTTATCATTTTAGTCCTGTAAGTGGAGTCTGTCGCAAACTAGTCCCATAAGTGAAAAATTTTCGCTGTTTTAGTCCTCCGGCTCCGGAGACGCCCGCGTGGCTCGCCGGAGGTGACGTGTCCACCAGGTGTCGGACACCTGGTGGACACGTAGATTTTTTTATTTTTTATTCATTTTTTTAAATTTTTTTAAAACTTATTTTTAATTTATTTTTAATTTCATTTGTATTTTTTTATTTTTTTATTTGGTCCAATTAAAAAATATTAAAAAATTTTAAAAAAAATGAAAATAAATAAATAAATCCACGTGTCCGCCAGGTGTCGCTGACCTAGCGGGACACCTGGCGGACACGTCACCTCCGGCGAGCCACGCGGGCATCTCCGGTGCCGGATGACTAAAACAGCGAAAAAAATTTCACTTATGGGACTAGTTTGCGACAGGCTCCACTTACGGGACTAAAATGATAAGGAGATCCAGTTACGAGACCTAAAAAACAGTTTCCCCTAAATATATATATTGCAATTCATCCAAACAATAATTAAACTTGGGTTTGCTTGTTTTAGTATTTTGATTTAAATTATTTTTATGTGAGATATTGTAATTGTATTGATAATATAAAAAATAATATTTTATATTGAATATTGACTTTTGTAAGAAGATAAAATATATATATTAAGAATTCTATTGAAAAAAATGAAACAACAAATATCATTTATCACGCTTGATCTAATTTGTATTTGTCGAATCGTTGAAATTTTCTCGCTATATATATATATATATATTATCAAGAAATAATCGAAAAACAAACATAAATAAATTATAATAATAATAATAATTTTAGGCGTCATCAAAAGTGCATTTTCAACTTCCAATTTTTCCAAATCCCGATGGGCTTCTTGGCACCAATAGCCGGAGCCGGAGCGGGAGCTGGAGAGGGAGCTGCCGGATAAGGCGCAACAGTGATGACGAGCTTCATTCCGGAAGCACAGTGGTTTCCGACACCACAAATGTACCACTTCCTCCCGACAGTCGCAAGGGTAATAACGTCATTTCCGGTGGATAGAGCTTCCGACAACGGCGGCACCGTGCAGCTCTGGAAGGCAGTCCCGTTCACTTTGTACACATTATGAGCCCCAGCTTTATACTTGAAAACTATAACACCAACCGTATAAAATACAGTATATAGTTAATTCACCAATAATAATTTCAAAAAAAAAAAAATGTTACATGAAAGTATTAATTTTTTTTTTTTATAAGAATCTAACAATCAATAGTGAGATTGTCTAAAAATTTAAGCACATTTTGCTATTTTTTATCTACACTTTTACTATATTTTTTATTTATTTTTTTGAAAAATTAATATAAAAATAGGGTGAAGGACAGTTTTTTAATCATATAATTATTTTTTTTGTTTTTCTAAATAATTGATCTATTATCTAGTATTTATAATATTTATATTCACACAAATTTAAATTAACAAGATAAACTATACCAAAATGAACTGGCTAGCCCCCAAAATTAATATGTAAAAACAAATGAGGAAAACTTGAAAAAGATGTCCATAATATGTTACTAGTGTATTTCATCCAATTAAATCAATTTCAAAATATAGAAATAAATTTTTCTATCTTTAATATATATATATATATATATATATGAGAATTGTTAGGTTGTTGATTAAGGTAATTAGTACATAAAATGTAGTTTAGTGTATGAACTGTTAGTATGTATTGTTATAGGCTGTCAATTCATATACTCTATTTATTTTATGTAAACATATTGTATATATTTTGTGTGTTGTCAGCCGTTATATGTTGAATATACTTAATATAGTTGCCCTTATATATATATATATAGTGACGGAACAAGCCCTAAAATTTAGGGGGATAAAATGTTATTTCACTTTTATTTTTTATTTAATATTGTCTTTTTCGATTTCTCCCAATGCAACCGAATAAACAAGAATGAAGAAAAAAATAACTAAACATTAATTTTTTAGAGAAATATTTAAGAAAATTTAATAAAATTCAAATCATTTCTACTAAAAAGTTAAAACCTAAAAATATAAATCAACAAATTACAAAAATTTATTATTTTTTACACTATAATATAAAAAAAAATTGAAAAATATGAAGAGCAAAATAATAAAAAAAATACATAATTTTATTATTTTTTACACTAAAAAAATCCTATATTTTAAAGATTGGAGTCAATTGCCCCTAGTCCCAGTATAGTTCTGTCTCTCTCTCTATATATATATATATATACTCGTAACGCTAAAATTAATTTTTAAAAGTAGCAAGGGGCGCGTACATACCGAGCCTATCTCCAAGGAAGAACTGTTTGCCTTGCGCCCATGCGGCATAGTCGAAGCCCAATTTCCAACCAGCATAGTCTCCAACAATGTAGTCCGTCGCCTGTGTTTGAGCAGCGGCGGCAATGCAGACAACGGCTGCCGCGACTAAGAATAACTTACAACCCATCGCCAATTCCTCGCAAAAACCTAAATTTTTTTGGTAGTACGTATTGATTGAATTAAGTGCAAATATAATTTATACATATATATATATATATATATATATAGAAGTAGAAGAAGGCCAGCAAGCCGGCCATAATCGGCAATGAAATAACATATTTATAAGTGAATTAGAATTGGTATAAATATCTACAATATTTAATTAAATCATGGAATAATATATATATATATATATATATGTTTGTTTGGAAGAAAATGAGTACATGATTGTATGTACATTTGTCGTGTGGTACTTAATACACTTGGACACTGGCCTGGGTCGGCAGCTGATTAATATCAAGAAGTTTACGGTCTGTTAATTAGGTTAGCAGTTGAGATTGTGTCTGGTATTGTTGGATTAAGATATACTAATAAATAGTTGAATATAAATAAAATTAAAAAATATATGAAATGTTTTTAAAATTATTCTAAAATAACTATACTCGAATATATATTATTATCATCTCCGACGTTTTGTCTTATTTGATCATCGGCCATACATGTGCTTATATTTTTTACCTATCTCTTATAAATAAAATAGAGAAGGGAACGGAGTAGGTCAAAGCACTACAGATCTCGGGACAAACTTTTTAAAAAAATATTAGGCTCCGAGACTCATTTCGTCCTGTTTCAACAATTGGCGGAGCCAGGACCATCTGATTCGAGGGGCTCGGTTAAAAGATATTCGAGTGAATTTACTAAATTTTATTATGTTAATTAGTTTAAATAGTCTATTATTTATTTTTAATTGTTATATAATAATTATAATTATAGAAAAAAATTGTGGAGTGTAGATTTTAAGAAATAAAATTTTAAATTTAAATATTTGCATGATACGATATAAATAATGTATTAATATATATAATTTTTTTACTATAAAAGTAATATTTTAACTTAATATAAAAATAAATAAATATTTAATTGATATTTTTTAAAATAATAAAAAATATCACAAGCAAACACAATCATAAATATATTAATCACGGTTTATTTTATATATAAACATTTTTTTTAATTATTTAAAAATTAATTGATGTAACCCTAAATTTTTATTTGCCGCTCCACACGCTCGCTTCTTATCCTATTTCTACTTGTGTTTTTTTCTTTTTCTTCTTTCTTCCCTCTTCTTTTTCTTTTTTTTTTTTTTATTATTTTTTCCATTTTAGTTCTTTCTTCTTTTTTTTTTTTTTCATTCTTGTTGTAGCTCTCGTCTCCTTCTTTTTTTTTTCTCCATTCTTTTCGGTTTTTCTTTTTCCTTCGTCTTTCTTGTTGTTTTAGTGCTTTAGTTGGGGTGGCTACGATTTTGTTTTTCTTCTGCCAACTGCAGCTGACGTTGAGATTCACTATTAACCACCAGAGTCGGGGGGCAGCGGACCCCCTAGGTCACCACGTAGCTCCGCCTCTTGCTTCAACCCCACCCTAGACCCTACTAGGCTTAGGAATTATTGAATAAACTTAAATATAATTTAACTAGGTTTTTTTTTTTTTGGTATTAAATTTGGATTTAGTGGTTATTAAATAAACCATAAAATGTTGAAGTTTATATGGGATTAAACACTAGGGGTTAAACTAAAATAACAGTATCATTTATGTTATAATGGTATCCAAAGTATTTTTTTGTGTTTTTAAAGGGCACTACAAGAAAAAATCATTTTTGTAACAAAATATTTTTGTCTCTAAATCTATTTTTTTTCGTTATGAATGACATTAGAGACGGAATTAAGAATGAAATCACGTTAGCTACGTGAACTTTAAGGACGGAATTCCGTTACAAATATATTATTTTTTTGTAATGGGCGTGGTTTGGTCAGTTGGTTAGTGTGTGGGTTGTAAGTGTGAAGTCAAGATTGTTTTAGTAAAAATAAGTGAATTTTTTTTTTTTTTTTGATCTGAAAGTGTAAATAAGTAATTTGTCTCCATAATTTAGTATTTGTACATTGTTTTCATATTTTGTAGTTGTTTTTGTGTCTGTTTGTGTTCATATTTGATTTAAAAAAAAAAAAAATTGGTATGAATGTTGATGGAAAATTTGATAGGTCAAATATTATTATCACGATTGACGGAGGCAAATTACAAGAACTTGAGTATTCAAACGTAATCACTTATTGGATCTCAAGATGTATGAGAGATAGTTCAAGAAGGTTTTGAAGAACTCATAAATATATGGAGGCTTAACACAAGGCGTTAAAATAGATGCTATCAAAGGATAAAGTTGTATTATACATTTTGTTCTAAGTTGTTGATGATTTTGGCTTTGAGGAGATTGTTGGTACTACTTCAAAAGAAGTATAGGACATTTTAAAAAAATATATTCAAATAAGCCGACCGTGTCAACCAAGTGTGTCTTCAAACTCTTTTTGATGAGTTGAAAAGCTTGAAGATGACGGAGTCAAAGAAGTGTATCCGACTACATTATGCATGTGCAATCCGTGGTTAACCAGCTAGTTTATAATGGAGAAAATTTTACTGATGCATGAATTATAGAAAAGATCGTAAATTAACCGATAATTTTGAGGATGTCATATATGCAACCAAAGAATCAAAGACCTCACAGCGTTTACAGTACATGAACTTGATAGTTGTCTCAAGACACACAAACAACGCAAGAAGAAAAGGAATGAGAAGACACTCAAGCAAGCACTTCAAATCAAGGTGTCTATAAAAAAAAAAAAAAAAACAAACAGAGTACTCTATTCTCAAAATTTTCGAGGTAGAGGGCGTGGATGTGGAATTCGTGAAAATGTTCGTGGTGGTCAAGGCAACAATAGTGAAGAATCCTATAAAGAGAAGAGACAATAAAACCAACTAAATTGTTTGGGTAAAGCATATGGTCGTAGAAAATGAGGCCGATCGAACTATTCTAACATTGAGTGCTACAAGTGTCACTGGTATGGTCACTATGAAAACAATTAACAATTTTGATATATATTATAACTGTAGTAGAGTTTGGCATTTTAAAAAAAATTATCGAGTCAGAAAAAAGATAGAAGAAGAAACCAACATAGTCTTGGAAAAGAAAAAGAAAGAAAATTTTCTCTTAATGACTTGAAATGAAAGCAACATCAACAATGACACTTTGTGGTTTCTCAAATCAGGGGTGAGCAACCATATGTGCGAACACCAACGCCTATTCAAAGATATGCAAAAAACTGAAAATGGTTATGTGAGGTCAAATGACAAGGTATTGTTTGTTACTTGCAAAACATTGGCTTGATATAGTCAATCCAAGATGTTTAATATGCACCAGATCTTAAGACCAATATTCTAATATTGAGCAACTCACGAAAAAGACTACTTGATACTTTTAAAAGTTTGGGTGCTATACCTAATGGACAAGAAATGACGTTTGATTGTTCAAGTTGAAATGAGAAGAAATCGTATATGCAAATTGATATTGAGAAACATGCAAGAAAAATGTTTGCAAGTCAAATAGAAGATAAGATATAACTATGGCATCTATAGTTTAGTAACCCACACCATAGTGGTCTAAAAAGATTGGCAAAGAAAAATATGGTGCACGGGCTATCGAACATAGATTGTGATGGAAAATTTTGCGAAACATGTGTGTTTTGCAAGAAAGAAAGAACATTCTTTCAAAAGAAGCCAAAATATCAAGCTAAACATCCTTTTAAAGTTTTTTCATACTAATATATATTGACAAATCAATCCCGAATCTTTCAGTAGAAAAAGGTACTTTATTTGCTTTATTGATGATTTCTCATGAAAAAAATTGTTCTAATTTTTTAAAGAAAAATCAATGGCAAGTCGGGGTGTTTATAAAATTTGAAGTGATGGTGGAGAAGGCAGTTGGTAGATATGTTAAAACCGTATGATTCAATCGAGATAGTGAGTATACTTCAACAACTTTCTTGAAGAATTAGTAAAAGAAAGGCATAAGAAGATTTTTAACTGCACCGCACTCTCCTAAAAATTAATGTGGCTAAAAGAAAAAATTGAACTATTTTTAACATGATTCGATCAATGCTCAAGAGCGAAAGAATACTGAAAGGATTTGGGGCAGAAGGTATACAATATGCCCTCTATATACAAAATTAATGTCTACATGAAAAGCTACATGATCAAACACCACAAGAGGCATGGAGTGGACAAAAGTGACAGTTTCTTAGCTTAAAGTGTTCAGCAGTACGACTTATGCATATGCACCAAATCAATAAAAAAATAAAGCTCGAAGACAAAAGAAAAATGTATATTTCATTGGATATGAGGAGAAAACAAAATGGTACAAGCTGCTCGACCTAATAAGCAAGAAAATGAGGATGATCAATGTCGTGATGTGCGAGTAGATGAAGCAAGTGTGTGGGACTGGAATAATTGAATGGAGACTATTAATGAAGTGAGAAAATCATGTCAATGATAAAGACAAATCACGACAACCCAGAATGCGAAGCTTGCAAGAGTTGTATATTTCAACTAATGAAATGCACTTAGTACATCTTTTGATAAATTCTGAAAATATCATCTTTGAAGGGGTTGTGCGAGACAAGAAATGGAAACTTGAATGAATGAGAACATTAAGACAACTATTTACAACAACACATAAGAGCTAACAAATTTCTGGAAGGAAATCATCCCATTGGAATGAAATGAGTATTAAAAAAAAATAAAAAAATGAATGCTTAAGAAGAAATAAAAAGGTACAAGCCATGACTTATTGCGAAGGGATATAAGCATAGGGCGAGAATCAACTATGATGAGGAGTTCGCTCCTGTTATAAAAATTAAGACAATCCGACTACTCATTTCAAAAATAGCTCAATTCAAATGGTTGATATATTAAATAGATGTCAAATTAGCATTCTTGAATTTGTACTTGAAGAAGATTTCTACATCGAGCAACCGCCCAGGTATTTATAACTTATAGAAGAAAAGAAGGTACTAAAACTAAAGAAGACATTTTATTAGCTGAAACAAGCACCACGGGCATTGAATACACGTATTGATACATACTTCAAGGATAACGAGTTTAAACAACGTTACTATGAGTATGATCTTTATACCAAAAACAATGAAAGTAGCATATTATTTGTTCTTTTTTATGTTAATAATCTTATTTTTATGGGTAACAATGATGAGATGATAAAATAGTTTAAGGGAGCAATGATACGGGAATTTGAGATAACATATTTGAGCTTAATGAAATTTTTTCTTGATTTGAAGGTTCAAAAAGTAGGAAAAGGTATTTTTTGTATCACAAGAAATATGAAAAAAAAAAAATTGAAGATGCATATTGCAATATGGTATCAACGCCTAAGGAATTTGATTTAAAACTCTCAAAATTTGATAGAGAAGCTTGTCGATGCAAGTCATTACCAGAGGTTGATAGGAAGTTTTCATTATCTCACATTCACAAGGCCAGATATTTTGTTAAGCGTTGGCATTGTAAGTTGAGGTTCATGGAGAAGCCGGTCTATTCACATTAAAATGCATTGAAACGAATCTCACAGTACATTTAGGAAATGTTATCGCTTGGGATGTTGTACACGAATGTGGGTGTTTAAAAGTTAATAAGGTACTTTGACAATGATTGATGTGATGACAGATGATTGAAAAAGTACGGCATGCTATGTGTTCTTTATGAAAAATATTGTGTTTACTTAGCTCTCAAAGAAACAATTAATCGTGACAGTATCGAACGTGTGAATCTGAATATGTGGCAACATCTTGGTGTGTATGTCGTATGATAAGACTGAGGAATTGGTTGAGCAAAATGGAACTGAAGTAACCACATGCAACTATGATTCAAACCAATAACAAATCAACGATTAAGGTAGAAAAAAATCAAGTGAATGATAAAAGAAGTAAATATTTCGATGCTCGCTTTCATTTAATCCAAAATCGTGTGAATGAATGAAGTGTGAAATTGGTGCATGTGTTAAGTCAAGATCAATTTGCGGATATGTTCACAAAACCACTGGCAGAGACACTTATCAATAATTGTAAGATTATTGGAATGATGAATGATCAAAACATTTAATTTTACGGAGAAGTTTTATTGAATACTTAGTGCTAACCCAACAAACTTGCTTTTTAAAATATGTATAATATTTTACTTATTAAAATATTAAACATTAAGTAATTATAATTTAAAAAATATGAACAATCAAATGTTGATCCATAAAAATAATATAAAAGTACATAAACACATTACAAATACATATATAAAAAATTTAAAATAGTAAATAGTCAATTCAACATTCAAGCCACAATGTGGCAGACTGTTGGCAATCGGTGGCGGTAGCTGTGATAAAAAAAAAAAAAGCAACATGAGAGAATGGGGAGCTACAAGTGGTGGTGGACAAAAAAATCAAATCGAACCGCATAATTAAACTGAACCAAACCGAATTTTCGGTTAACCAAGCAAATTCTGTCTGAACACAAATATTGCATATTTGATATTTGTTCGGTTCGATTCGGTTTCGGTTTTTGATATTTTTTTCGATTCGGTTAACCGAACCGAATATATTTATATATTCGTATTATTATATTTTAAAATTTATATAATAATTATATTCGGTTCAGATATTTGAAATATTTGCAAATATTTTTTATCTAATTAGAATTTGAATTATTTTTAATATTTTTTTTTTAATTTCAGTTTGGTTCGAGTTATTTGTAAATATTGCAAATGTCTTCGGTATTTTCGGTTAACCGAAATTTTCTCTCGAATACGGTTCGCGATTTCGAATATATGTTCAGATCGATTTGATTCGATTATCAAACACCTGCATATTTCAAAATAACAAGATCAATTAAAAAAAAAAAAAAAAATGGATACTAGGTCATTATGTGGACTTTTCCTTTTCCTTATGGAGTAATGGATGTTTGTCTTGAAAGGCCACCTAATAGGATCTCTTTTTGATCTAATATTTTAGAATCAGGTCATGTCTAAGTCCAGATCTAACTAGGATGTCAACGGACCGGGTTCGGGACGGGTTCTGCAGGCTCCGAGAGCCGTCCCGCTAGAAAATATTAGATTCTGAGATCCGCCCCGTCCCGCTTCCACCCAGCCCCAAGACCCACCCCGGCCAATCCGGCAAACTCATTTTTTAAAAAAATATATAATAATAAATATTTTTTTAACAATCGAATACTAAAACAAATAGCATTAAAAGCACCAAAAAAAATCTAAAAACAATCAAATATTGATCCATAAAAATAAGATAAATAAATAAATAATATATTTTTATTATATAAATATACATATATTAGGTATAATAATTTTAAAAAATTATTTGGAACAGACGACTAATTGAATTTTATATTTAAAATTATTTAAGTAAATAAATAATATATTTTTATTATATAAATGTACATATATATTAGTTATAATAATTTTAAAAAATATCCGGGTTCGGATCCGAATCCGGGTTGGGACGGGTTTTTAGTAAAACCCGTAACCCACCCCAAACCCGGCCGGGTTTAAAATTTTAAATCCACAATCCGCCCCTAAACATATTATTTAGACCCGAATCCGCCCATTAAGAGCGGGTCCGGGGCTAACCCGCCCCATTTGACATCCCTAATTTAGGCCGGACAGATCCGTTATACTAATACTATTTTTTAATTTTTTTGCATTGAAATGCGCCAAGATCAAAGGATTTAAAGTCACCCTAAAATTCTTTGGTAACTTCATTTGTCGATTATTAAAAATAATTTAATTTTCAAAGTAATATAATCAATTAGTATACTCCTTCCCTCAATCATAATAATGTCATTTTTTAAAAAAAAATTTACAAAAAAAAAAAAAAATAGCATAATTATCATGGACAAAAGAGTATATAACAATAATAAATTAATTTAAATAATATGAATAAATTGATGAGTATGAATTTATTTAATACAATAATTATAAATAATAAGTTTATAAAATGAAACATAAATACACATGTATGAATTATAAATACTTTAAATATATTCTTATATTATTATATAAAATAATTAATGAACAAATTAAACCAAATTTTTTCACTTTTTATTTTTTGGATTAAAGTACTTTTTATGTTAGATACCACTAATGTAAAAAATAATATACTTGAATTATTGATTTTTTTATGAATAAAGTATATATATTATATATTGTGTTAATATATGTATTTTATTTTTTTCTAATATTTATGGAGAATTTTTATCACTCAAAAATAAATTGAGTAAGCAAATCAGAAATTAAATATACTAATAAAAATGAATTAAAATATAATTATAATTAAAATTAGAAGATAAAAAAATATAGCGATCTCAGATGCGTCGATATCAATGGTGACTCGTAAATTTATAGATATAAAATAATTAATAAGCAAAATAAATTATTATTACTATTGTATTAAAAATATATATTAATATATAAGGTTAAATATATTTTTGTTAAAAAATCGTACACATCATTTATTTGCTGAAGAAAGCATCTTTCAATTCTTGAACTACCAAAATTACAATTTTTTGTAAGGTATATAATATATTTTTAAGAGTAAAAAATATATATGTAATAAAACTGATAATTGACTATAAATATATAAGGTTAAATATTTTTTTTTTTTTTTTTTTACAATTTTCCTTATATTTATTAATTTATTAGCCTTAAATATTCCAAGACATTAATGTTAGTTTGCGGAATTTAGAATATTTTTATAATTATTCTTTTAAAAATATCAAAGCAAATATATATTTTAAATTTTTTTATATTATATTAAAATACCATATTAACATCTCTTTATATTATATCAAATAATTACTTTTAGTATCTAAAATATAAACTCAAAATTCAAACTTCAAACAAACGTTTAATAAATTGTTTAAATAAATTGGTTCATAATTCATTAAAATAATACTATATATTATAATTTCATCCTATAAAATAAACACGACCATATCCGAACAATCGCGAGCATAATAAGCTTCAATGGGAAGCCGCAAAGAAAGCGAGAGCCCCGACAAACGGCGCATTAATGTAAGTTGCCGGCTCTGACTGCTGATAGTTACTTCTCTCGTCGGAAAACTTATCTTGATTGTCCGGACCACCTACGATGGCTCCAACTAGGATGTTCGGATTCGGCGACCCGGAGTTGTAATAATCGAATCCGTCATGGCACCCGATGCGGGCTGCGTGTGCGCGCACCGACGGCAAAGACGATCCCCGGTGGTGGACACGTTGCGGATATTTTTGTCCGAATCCTACCATGTACGACATTTTTTCCGGATTGTTGCCCAAAATGTAGTCCACCTGTTTCCTCGCCTCCGCCGCCAGTTTTTCGGAGGAGACGGCGGCTGTCCCGCCGCAGGAGGCGGCGCCGCCGTGGGAGGTGAGATATTTGGAGTAGGTTAGGAGGAGGAAGGTTGCTGTTGTCACGTATTGGAGATTGCTTTCGCTTTGTTTGTAGTAAAGTCCTCCTAAAACAAAAAATCATCATTTAAATTTTAATTAGGTCTACAAAGAAATTTTATTAAAAATATTCGATCTTTCCAAGCCACTTTAATTTAAAAAAAAAAAAAAAAAAATTGCTAAATTATGTAAGTTTACTTGCACTAATTTTGTTTTGGATTTTGGTTTTTGGTTTTTAAATAGTTAATTTTTGAATTTAAATAATAGTTTGATGTAATATAAATATATGTTGATGTGATGTTAGGAATATGAAATTAAATTGAAGCGTAATATAATAAATTAAAATAAATGTTTGATATGCTATTCTTAGATTAAAAAAAAAAAAAGTGGATGATAATATAATAAATAAAAATAAATGTTTGATATTACATTCTTAAAAAAAAATGGATAGTAATATATATAATAAATAAAAGTAAATGTTTGATTTGATAGTCTTAAAAAATAATAATAATAAATGGTAAAACTAAGTGCAATCACTTACAAGTTTTCTTTTTTAGTCATTTCTTTAATTTATATTTAATCTATATAAGTAAACGAAAAAAATTATTATTCATAATTTTATTATATTATTTAAACAAATAATAACTAATTTGCTTATGTTCTTTCTAACTATTCATATTATTTTTTTATTAACTTAATAATTTTTTTTAACTATCCCACAAATATTAAAATAACTTTTTAAAATCTTTGGGATGAAGAAAATATAAATTAATTATGTAATATGTCCGTATTAAATAAAGTAAATTTATATTAAAATATATAATACTTTCTCCGTCCCAAATAAAGTGCAACATTTATTTTGGGCACAGGCTTTTAGTTAGGTAGTATTAAGCAAGATAATTTATAAATTAGGTGACGTGATGAAAAGAAAAATATATATTTTATTTTTTTTATTTGGATGATGTGACGGGATAAAGTGTGGGGTAGAGATTAAATATAATTAATTATTTACTCTCTTGGAAATGTTGTAGGGTGTTTGAAACATACCAAAAAAAAATATTGCACAATGTTGAAACGGAGGGAGTAATATATTTCTAATACTTATGTGTTTGTTTGGACTTTCTTTTTTTTATAAAAGAAAATTTCTATTAACTTTTTTTTAAAAAAAAATATCAAATTAAACACAAATATTTTATTTTATAGGATATACTAAAAAATAACTTGTGAATTCAAAATTGAAAACATAAACAAACATACTTACCGCGGGTGAATGACTGAGGCTGAAAACTTGGAGAGTCCGGAATAAGGGAGCATATGTACCTGTCCGAATGTGCTTTGTACGCCTCAAATTCTTCAATGCTCTCTTCCAAGAATGCCTAATAATAATAATAATTAATAAATATTATTATTATTATTATTATTATTATTATTATTTATAATTAATAAATTAATTAATTAATTACCTGAGAGAGAAGAACTTTAGTTCCAGCTCGTTTGTCATCCCAACTGAAAGAATAGTCGTCTTCATCGGCTCCCAGCGTGTGGCCGTTGGACTCAATGTAAGACAAATATGATGTCTCTTTTGAAGCCCTGTGAAGCCACGATGCTCCCCACAGGAGCTCATCCTGCACACATATACATACATACATACATATATATATATATGATTAATAATTATTTATTTATTTATTTATAATAATCAAATCTAAATTATTATAATAATAATTAATAACACACATCCGTACTTGGTATCCAGAGTAGGAGCAGTAAAACGGGCACACTGCTGAGCTGAGAGACTCACTATAAGCCCCTCTATACCTGTCTGCAAAATCGAATACCTGCAAATTCATTCAACCCAAAAATCAAATTAAATGTATTATTAATAATAATAATAATAAATAAATTTTTCTTTAAAAAAAAGACCTTCTTGGCAGTTTGGAGCAATTTAGCAGAGTAAGAAGGATCGGAATCTCTGAACACAATGGACGCCGCCGCCAGCGCCGCCGCAGTCTCGGCGGCGACGTCGGATCCCGGATTCTGCGGCGAGACCTTGTAGACATTCCGGGCGGTGTCCATGTCCTCCGGCCGTTCCCAGCAGCTATGGTCGTTGTTGGGATCTCCCACCTGAACGTACAAAAATTCCGGCGCCGCCGCCGAAGCTTTCAGGAGATAATCGGAGCCCCACCGGACTGCGTCCATGGCGTTCTTCGTCTGGCTCTTCATGGAGCTTCCGAATTCGATGACGCTCCACGCCAGAAGAGTCGTCGTGAAAGCCATCGGCAGACCAAATTTAACGTTGTCTCCGGCGTCGTAGTAGCCTCCCACGAGATCCACCTGTATTATCGTTGTATTCATATATATATATGTTATAAATCTTTTAAATGGATTTTACGAAGAAAGTGAGTATAAATTTGAATGATAGAAATAATATTATTTAATTGCGATGGATTTAGTTAAATTGAGGGAGGGTGGGTGGGACGAACGTGGTAGCCGGAGCCGTCGGAGAGGCCGGAATCGGCGCGCCAATTGACGCGTTGGGTGGGCGGTAGTCGGCCGGATCTCTGTCCCTCGAAGAAAAGGATTGATTTTTCGAGAGCTTCGGAATAATCTTGAGGAGTGAAAGCAACAATGGATGGTGAAATGTTGATGAAAAAATGGAAAAGTAAAATTAGAAAGGGCATTTTGAGGGTATGTTTCGTGGCACAATTAGACATTGATGAATAATGCTTGTAGAATGTCTGTAGCATATGAATATGAATATGATGATGACAACCCTCTTTATCTATATATATAGCAACAACTATTGTGCCAAAATTTATCACTTAATTTGACACAATATTCAGTTGATATAATTACATATGTCCTTTGTTTCTGATGAATGTACTTTATTGAAATTTTGTAGTAAATTAAAAAATAATAGTAATGTATTCTCTCCGTACCAAATACCTTGCAATATTTCGTTTTTGGTATATTCGAAACACCCTACAACATTTTCAAAATAGGAAATAATTAATCATACTTAATTCCTACTCCACACTTTATCCTCTCACATCATCCAAATAAAAAAAATAAACTATATATTTCTCTCTCCATTATATCACTTAATTTCTAAATTATCCTACTTAATACTGCACACTTAAAAACTCGTGCCAAAAGTAAATGTTGCATCTAGTTTGGGACGGAGGGAGTATTAATTAGTGAAAGTGTGTAAGAGATTTTTGACAATTTTGTTTTTTGACTTTATATATAAATTAATTATATGTGTAATTGTACATTTGTAGTTTAAGTAAGTGTTAAGAATATTTTAATATTAATGTAAAATTACTTTTACTAAATGAAAAACTGATATTTTGAATGGACAGACAAAAATGATAAAAAGATACTTTAAATTCGGATAGAGGTAATACAACATTTTATATAGTTACAAATAATATAAATAATATAAAATTTACTTTAATATAATATAAATACAATATATAACTCGCAATATATATTATTATTGATTTTCATAGTCCTATACGATGTATACCATCATTAATTTCATCATAAAAAATATATTCATACAACGAATCTATAAATATATATATATATATATGTATATATTGTCAGCTTGTTTTAGATGTATTCATTAAGACAAATCACCATTGTCCCGGTCCCATATATGTATATGTTTGTACATGAGGTTTCTGTTGCTAATAAGATAAAATTGTACTTATTAAAATTAATATCTTTAAAATTTGAAGTCATTACTTATATATATATATATATATCCTTGAAGTCAACATATTATTATATAATTAATATAATATAATTATAACCAGTGACGGAACCAGTAATAAAAGTTGATAAGGGGTGCAAAATCAATTTTTTTTATTGATTCAATGATAAAAAATTTTAATGTTATTAAAAAAAAATCAACAAAATTACATAAATTTAATATTTTTTTACTATAAAAATAAAATTTAAAAACTAAAAGTATAAATCTAACACACACACTGATAAAATTTTTATGATTTTTTACATTATAAAATTTTTTAAAAAAAAACAAAAGATAAATTACTATAAAATATATAATTTTATTATTTTTTACATCAAAAAAATACATTTAATTTTAGAGCGGAGGGGTCAGTTGACCCCTCTAACCCCATAACTGACCCCTCTAACTCCCATATAGTTCCGCCCTGATTATAACTATGTGAATAACTGAATATTTTGAATACAATATAATTTATTTAGCAATAATATTTAATATTATATATATATATAAGCTTATGTAAACATCATATTTAATTAATAAAAAAACATCACGTGCATGGATAAGTAAAAGATTTACGGGTAGACACTACTCAACATCTTATGTATCTTGAGTGAAATTATTTATTTGATACGTATTCAAACATATCGTATAACTATATATAGTCAATTAATGTATATACAAATACAAAAATTGGGTTTTGTTTAGATACGAATTTTAATTTTAATTTTTTAAATAAAAATAATAAGATATTAAGTATTTAATATAATATCTTTAAGAAAAAAAATTTTATCCATATGTTATTTTTTTAATAATTAATATTGATACAAATATCGAACCTTCAATCGTAAACAGAGTTTTGTTATTTAAAAATAAATAAATTAAAATGACATAATTTGACTCTTAATTAATTTTTTATTAACACAGACAAAAAGAAATCCTTAGGAAATTTAAGTTTCTTTTACAATACAACCGTATAAATTATATATTCCCTCTTATTATCTGCAAGAGTTATATTTACTTTCTGTGTATTGATATCTAAATACTACTATTATTTTTTATATCAAAATAGACTACAAATTAAAAAAGATAGCAAAAATATTTTTATTCAATATTAAATACGATAAAGCAAAATATAAATATTCCCTCCGTCCCAAAACTATAGTGTAGGTTATGTCTGGGACGGGATTTAAGAAAATATTGATATTATATTGGTAGTAGGTAAAAAGTATGGATAAATGACTTTTTTACCCTTGTGAATGTATTAGTATAAGAAGTAGTAACAATTGTGTAATAATAATGAAAAAATAAGGATAATTTTATAGTGATATGATTATTTATGAAAATGAGACTATTGTTTTGGAACGAACAAAAATGATAAATAAGACTATTGTATTGAGATGGGAGAAATATAATTTTTCCATAAAGACGAGGAAGTATATTTTTGTGCATGTAAAATATTACATTAAAAATATTATTTAAAAATAGTTAAAACTAAAGTACAAAAAATATATCCAATTAACTTCCATACATAGAGAGAGAGAGAGAGAGAGAGAGAGAAGTTGGTTAGCAGTTGGGTGAGGAGAAAGTCGGAAGTGCATCACGGGATCAACTGCGGCAAATGGGATGGGATATTGGGATGTCATCTTACAACTTACAACTAAGGCCCATAACCAAATTATCACAACATAAATATAATAAAAATAAATATAAAATAAAAATATGTCCATATCAAACAAATGAGCGGTTACAGTGCTTGTATTGATATTATTTTTATTTTTTATTTTTTATTTAATAATGTACAAAATCCGACTGATACTTTTCAAAATACGTTTTGAATAAATCAATATATAATAGGAAAAACCTAGAAATGTCGGGGGCCCTATATAATATGGCCCTACCATGACTGCATGTAATATGGCTAAATTGTACAAAATTTATCTCTGATTTAATGAAATTTCGTCAAATTCCTTATATTTTAAAACTGCGTCAAACTCTCTCGTGGTTTTATAAACTCTGCGCTTAGCCAGATCGGCAGTCCTTATCTAACGATATTTAACCTAAATACGCTCAAACTGCGAATAAATTTTAAAATCGCAATTTATAAACTCTTATAATTATAAATATATTCATTTTTCTTATATTTAACACTCAAAAATAATTATTTTTCTCAGATTTTTAAAAGTTTAATTTTACTGGTTTTTTTAGGTTAAATATAAGAAAAATAAATGTATTTATAATTTCAGGGGTTTAGAAATTGAGATTCTAAAGTTTATTTGCAATTTGGGCGCATTTAAGTCAAATACCATTAATAAGGACCGCCGAGGGGTTAGACGGAAAGTTTATGAAACCACGAGGGAGCTTTGACGCAGTTTTAGAAGTGTGGAGGATTTGACGTAATTTCGTGAAATCACATGTGAATTTTGTGCAATTTATCGTATAATTATTTTTAAAACAAACATCTTGTATATTATATATTGTATTAATATTAATATGTAATTTGTATTGATATTAATTATAGTGTATATCATTGTTATGTGATGTTAATTCATATATTGTCTGTGTTGTGTTAAAGTCAATAATAGTATGTATTGTATGAACTATTGTGATATATTATTAGTTGACATATTGTATTTATGTTATCTTAATATAAATTATGTATCTTATTTATTATTATTACTCTCTCCGTCTCATAAGTAAATATCCATTTGCTTATTGCACGTAGTTTTAGAAATATTAGTATTATATCGAGATATAGTAGGAATGAAGTAGAAATGACTAAAATAATCTTATTAGTATGTGTGATATAAATGTAATGGCATTTGTGTAATATATTGTAAGTTGTAAGGGTATTTGTAATGTTAGGTAGATAGTATAATTACTAAAATGGAAAAATAGATACTTTGTTATGGGACGGAAAAAGTATTATTTACCGCAAGTATGTATTTAAAGGTGTGTTTGTTTGGGGGTTTGGATTTTGAGTTGGGATTTGAATAGTAAAAATTTTGAATTTGAATAGTTGTATGATGTAATATAAACAGACGTTGATGTGATGTTTTGGATGTAAAATTGATTTTTAGTATAATATAAAAAATGAAAAATAGGTGTTTGATTTGATTTTTTTTGGGGAGAAAATTGGATCAACAGTGGAAATCTAATCCAATCCCAAACAAACACAATGGATAGAATGTTGAATGACATCTTCTCTAATAATATGAAGACAAGATTCTCATTGTTTTATGCTAACTCACATGACACCACCTCTCTCCTCATCACACATTTATTACCCCTACCCCACCCCCCCCCCCCCCCCCCCCCCCCATTTTTCTTTCTCCATTTCTTTTTAAACAAACAAAAATTTAAAATAAAATAACTAATTAAACAATATTATCGTTTTGGAGGTTGGCACCGCACGCAACATGCAAATTAAGACTCTGTTTTATTATTATTATTATTATTATTATTATTATTATTTACCAGTCGTGCATTGCAATACAATTTCAAATTGTATGAAATTAATGTGTTTGTTCACTCAAAACTTTTTTTTTTTTTTTTGTACTAATATATACTTGCATTAATACAATGTAATATATATTATTTATATATAAAAAGTCAGGAATTCAATACAAGATATTATTTATATTATTGCCGACACATTCTATATACCTAACATAAAAAATGAACTTATTTAAAAATACAGAGCGAACAAACTTTTGTTTTTATTTACTTGGGGTTTCATTTTATTTTTTATTTTTATTATTTATTCTGACCAAAAATATTCAATCCTTTATCTATTTATTAAAAAAAAAAAAAAAAATTGTTCCAAGTAAGATTAAGGTAAAGATCCCACATTAAAAGATTGCGTGATTTTCGTTAATAGTGCGGAAGGGCCTTCCTCAATTCTTGCTTGTTTAAAAGGCGCAATTAAAGGGGTTTGTTTCACTACAATTTTATTTATTTTTATTATTATTATTATTATTATTATAAAAAAAGATTGGG